AGCGGGAGCCCTGGGCAGAACCGGTAGCCCCCGAGTGGGGAAACCCACTAAAGAGCCCGTCACTGAAGGCCCCGAAGGGGGAAAGTGGGGGGGAGCCTTTTTCCCCCCGTGTTTCCAGGCCTTGGAGGGTGCGAGGAGCAATTAGAAGACAGCGTGTTGTTCTCAGTCTTCCCAGGTCCCCCCACCCCCCGAATCACAGAATTGCTAAGCAGGGATTACACTGCAGGATTACGGGGAGGTCGAGTTTTACTGTCTCGATTTCTGCAATCTGCTTGTTCGGTGACTAGTACCGTGTACTTTGCCTGCTCTCCCATCTTTATTGTTGAAGGTGACTTTTGTCCCAGCCACGGCAGCTCCTGACTGCTCTTCCATTCCCTTTTTTGTCCGTTGGCCGCATTTGGTCTGCGCCCTTTCGCCTCTCCTCTTTTCCTTCCCCTGCATGCCAATCTTTGCTCTTTTTTGATGCTTCGTGCTTTAAGTTCTTCAGCCCTTCTCAGGCTAGAGGTGCATCTGGGATAACTTTTTTCCCAGGCTGGGGAAAACTCTTGTAGTGGCTCTTCATTCCCTTGTTCTGTCTCCTGGCAATGCTGGAGGGAGGAGCAGAAGAATATCCTGTTGCTTACCGCAAGCAAGAAGAGTGGCTAAGCCTCTTCTGCTGCTTTGCTTCGTGGCTTTGAGAATATTTCGTCCTCTGAGGAGAGCTGTGGAGAACTCGGCAGCTTTCCTGCACGGATCCTGCCTCGGCAGGCACTAATCAGGAGTCCTGTTTGCAGCAAAGCATCTGCTTCTGCAATTTGGAAGAGGAATAGCACTTGTTGTGCCATTGCTGGCTTTAGCTACAAACAGGCTACTGTCACTCATGAACAATTGCAAGATTTGGCAGCATGGGCTGCTCTTTTCTGGAAACAGAGATGAAGTCATGGGGACAGTGATACGTACCAGGCAGTTGCTAAAAGGACTGGACTTTCAAACAGGCCAGTGCAGATAGCGTAGGGAGTTGCAGAATGGACTGCGTTGTGGGAAAATACACTAGAATATCTTCACAGTCTTCTAAATAATTTAAAAATAACATTCCCTGTAAAATATTTGTGAAACAAACCCGAATTTTAATTCTGTAGGTCTCTACTATGCAGAAAGTGTAAGTAGAAAATAATATCACTCTGTGAATTTTAAAGCCTTTATGAGAAAAAACATAGATCGCTTGATAGTGAGATGGTTTCTCAAACGTCTTGTCTCAAAATGTTACTTCAGGAGTTGCCACAGTTCTGATATTGGTGCAGGGACTGCCGTATTTTGGTCCTGTTTTGGTGCGTAGGGTTGACATGGGAGAACAAAGAACAAGAAGATAATAGACAAGAAGAGGACAAGTCCTGGGGGAACCGAAAGGTCTAGAAAGCGGCACGTCTGCGTGCTGAATGGCATGGCGAGGACTGGCAGAGACGATTAAAAAAGCTGTCAGCAGATTACAGTGAGGGTCTGCACTGGTTAGTGGGAAGATGCTAACTGGGATGAAGCTGGGGTTGGACTGGTAACCCGATGGAGTTTAGTTTGTTTAACGCCTCCTTTCCCTCCCACGCCATTTTGGAATTTCAGAATGGGCCTGGGCATCGCTTCCACGGGCATGAATTTAAAATGGTTTGGGTATGGGCAGTGCTGTTGCTGGATACCGTCTGACCATCTGTTCAGTCGGCCTCAACCTGACTATAAATAATCCATTTTATTTGTTTCCTGGTTTGATGTTTGTTTTGCCAGTAGGATTACTTAAAGGACCAGCTTGCAATAAATTTTCTGCAATAAATGCTGTACAACCCCCTGTCTACAGTGTAATTAAACTGATTTGAACTCGGATTATTTAGCAGAGCAGTTGAGATAAGAATGATCTTCACATGACTCAAGCACAGCTCTTCAGTGCGCTTAGGGAAGTGAGCCTGTCACGTTTGCGCTGCAGTGTCAATATGAATTATGGACGTTTTAAAATATTTTTAGTTACTTCTTTCTAAATTCATTGTAAAGCTATCCCATTGCGATAGGTCGGGGTTTGAACAATGCCGTCAAGATAGGTACAAGGAGATCGGGTGATACAAAAGATGAGCGATGAGCGGCAGCCTTCCCTGGTACTCTTCAGAGAGGTGTCTGCAGGAAAGACCGGCACTTTTGCCAGACAAGCTCTAACATTTTCCTGGCAGGCGTAAAGTTTCTGTCTGAAAGTTTGTACTAAGCCTGCAGACTTCATGAAGCCATTGTAGTTTGAGATGCGTCATATTTTTATTGTGTTGCTGCGTTAACTCTGAAACCTGAGAGTGATGATGTGATGTCACCTTTAATTTTCACAACGTTGAAAATCAAACAATATGCTAGAAAGCAGGGCTGTTTTTAATGTTGCCTGTCATCTTTTTGTGGCATGCTGGTGGCTGGAACAGTATGCAGCATAGAGGGAACATCACTCCTGTGTTCCTTTTTCAGTCCAGCTTTGCAGTTGTACGCTTTTCCAGTGTTGTTCTTACCTTCGTGAATATTCTTTGTCCTAGAGGAGTGAAATGTGTTAATTTGGTTACCTTTATTTCCTGTTTTTCAGCTAGTGGAATTGTTAAAGACACCTTTGTTGGAGCCAGAAATGGACAATACAGGCTTTTAAAAATAGTCATTGACAATGGTTAGTCAAATTTTTATCTTTTTCTCTGATTCTTTTAGATATTTTCCTAGTTGTTTTAGTGACCTACACGTACAATTGTTTAAAAAACAAATCTTTGCAAAGCTTAATGTTTCTAAGGCCTTTCATATACAGAAGGTAAGATTTAAGTTTTGGTGATGCTAAACTTTTCAGTATGATGCTACTGTATTTTTGCATTTGAATTTTTCTTCCCAGTGTCATTTCATATTTTACCAAGGACTGCTGTGTATCCATGTTACCATATGGATAATATAAATGAGCTTACTCTTATCTTCTTACTAAAGAAAGAGTAGAGGTAAAAAAAATTACACACCTGTGTAGTGTTTTGGCACTTTGGTTACTTTCGTTAGACAGAGAGATTCTTACACAGCCGCTGGTCACTTTAGATGAAGTATAAATGTTATCGGTCTTTTATATTGGGATCAGCTGCATGCAGAAAGTCCTGTTAAAGCAGACATTTCAGTAGTACTCTGGCTACATAGAAAGTATCTTTAAAAATCTGCAACTTTGTACAAATTTTCAAAGCTAAAACTGTTCCTTAAATCTCATGTATATGTAGAAATATAAAAATACATAATTTCTTGCAGAACTTGAATTTGATCTTTGGACTTCTTGGCAAGTGATCAAGGATGCAAACACTGCAAGATAGAATGCATAATTAATTTTTTTATAATAGCAATGCTGGTTGACTGTATAAGACACTTCATGGTTTAGTCCATCTTTTCAAGTACACCAAAAGCCCACCTTGGGTTTTTTGTTCTTTCTAGAGTTCATTCATTTACAGTACACTGACATACTTGTTAGCTGGAGAAAGGTACGTGTACATACACATGCATCTATTATTAGGTAGATAACCTACTGTTACCTTCTTTGTGTTTGCTTTTCTTAGGAAGTCTTCTGACCTTTTAATATGGCTTTCCTTAAGGAAATGGCAATAGTAATATTATAGGCAGGTCACTGTGGTAAAGTCTCACTAGCACAAGGTAGCAAATGCTGTCATACCACTGAATTATATTTTTTTTCCCCCATTAGGCAAGGTAAAACAATATGCTTTTGTGTGTATGCTACTTTTTAATATGAAATGAAGCCTAGAAATAAGAGTCAAATGGAAGACATTCCCTTTTTTTTTCCTTTTTCTGTGTGTGTGTGTGTGTGTATATATATATATATGCATTTTGTCCCTATGTAGAAGCAGAATCCAGTCATTGACACTATTTTCCACAGCTCAAAAAGAAACCTCTAGAACTCCCAGAATACTGGAAGAGGGACAGTTGCCTCATCTGTCTGCAGGAGCTTTCAGCAACTGCCTTTAGTCAGCAGATGATAGTCAAATTGAGTTCTGCTAATCTGAGTTACTAAGAGGGGAGGTTTGCTGCTGGGCAATAGAGTTCCTCTGACTGTATTTTTCTGTCTTACATCCAAGTGAGTATAAAGCCACCTCGAGTTCAGAACTGGCAGGTACCTTCTGAATGCTCTGGTCTACGTGTACAACTTCAGCGACGTCGCATCTAATGCAGAGAAGGGCCAAACACCCTGTCTCCGAGCTGTCGTGTGCTGTGACTTACTGCGGTAGAGTGCCTCGCTCTGGGAGTTTTGCTGCAGAGGCATTTGTACACTGTTGTACTTTCCTCTGACTTTGTAGAAGTTAGGTCTAGACTCTCAAAAGATACTTTGTATACTAGCTACCACGATGGCCCTCAAACTGTTGTAGGATCCCGTTTAAAGAAGGTATTTCTGTTTTGATTGTGGGGGCTAATATTTATTGGGAAGCTGGTAAATGTTTTGAAAGACACTATACTAATACTTCCCTTTGGAAGCTGAGATGTGATTTATAAATAAGAGAAAAATCTTGTTGCTACAGCTGTGCACATAATTGAATCGGGTCTGAAGTATTCTATACAGACTTAAGCCAATTATACATAATAAACAACTTCAGTCATTTAAAGAGACCGTAGTTACGAAGCTGTATTAGAAAGAGGTTTATCTACTTACATAGTCAAGTTAAAGTGATTAGTGCAAGCATATTCATTCCAAACTCTTTTCACTGTATAACTGAGTTGTTGACTCCTTACAATGAGTACAGACACTGGTACGTTATAGCAAGAGCATCAATACTTCTAATTCTAAAATTTAAAAGCTTATGTTCATCTTGTTTCTACTTAAGTATTTCAATTTAAAAATAAACTAACAGGCAGAAGGCAGTTTTTGTTTCCCTTCTGTGTACATTGTGCTAAAAATGCTAACATCAGTCTTAGCCCTTCAGATGAAAGAACTTGATGACAACCAGCACATTACTTCTCAACTGTTTGCATTTGGGTTAAAGTAAGTTAGGGTTTGAACATCCACAGCTTTTGTAGGAGCTCACCTGCTTTCGCTGTGACTGTTCCTGACTTCCGTTCTTGTGGACACAGTTGTGAAAGATGAAATGTCTGGTTAACTGTTTATTGTAATTGCTAATTTTGAAAAACAGTATTGACTGTATTGTTGCTAACCTGTAGCTTTGGTTATTGTGTATAGAGCAGCTTGTTGTGGGATCCTGTAGGCGGCCAGTTGGATCATGGGAAAATGATTATGATTCCTTTGTCCTTCCCCTTCTTGAAGACAAGCAACCATGTTATATATTGTACAGACTAGATTCTCAGAATGCTCAAGGATATGAGTGGATCTTCATTGCATGGTCACCTGATCACTCTCCTGTAAGTAACAGTCATCACAGACTTCGTGTTGTTAATGGTTTTTCAAGAGTGCCATTTGACCTGAATCGTAGATACGAAGGAAAAGGATTTGAGGGATGAAGCATTCCCCAACCTTTCCCTCACTTTTCCCTGTGAACACTGGGAAAACATCTTTCTTGAAGCTGATCGAGGAGCAGTATCAGTGGGTCTAGGTGGAGTGCAGCTGATCCAATTTATTGCTAGGCTGACTGGAGGAGACAAGACAATGTTTTTGCCCTGTTTGTTTGTTTGTCTTTCTGTCAGCGTTCCATGAAAATTCATGGAAGGATATAGGACAGAAATCTCAATGGGTGTTATCACAGAGAGGAGGATTATAGTGTGAGCTCAAGCTGCTTATTCTGTTTGGCTTGCTGGCTGCCCAGCCAGCACTTGTGGATCTGTGACCTGCCACAGAATATACTGTTTCTTAGTCAGTAGTTAGAGAACATGGGAGGGAACTGAGGTTAGAGTTAAGGATTTCTAGGAGAAACTAGGATCCTCTGTACAGGTTCTGGGAATGTGAAATAAGGAAGAACAGAAAGTAAGGGTATTCCAATATTCCTGCTGCTTTCACTAGCAGTTAGGAAATAGTAAGACACCAAGAGTTGGAGTGCATAGAAGAGATTAGGTGGAAAAGGTGAGGTGTTGTGGTGAGGATGTCATGACAGTGAAATAAGGTAGGAAGATGGGACTGTTGAGGGAGGAATTAGTGACTATGTTAGACACAAGTTGATAGGGAGCAAACGTCATTAGATCTTCTACCCCAAGAAAATTTCATTTTTTCCAGTCTGTAGTTGAACCGAAACTATCTGGAGTCACTATCAAATAAAAAATAATAATGATTGATTTACAGTCTGCTCTTTCTCAATCTGTTGTATCCATTAGTACACAGACCAGTGACAAAAGATCTAAACAAATCTTGTTTTTCCCATTTAAAATTAGTAAAGATTATGTTGACTTTTTTTTTCCATTTAAAAAAACCCTCATACTCTTACCAAAGCTGCAATTTAGTTTTGGAATTGCTTTGGCAATAATGCATAGTATCATGCCCTTGAGAATTTAACAGCATGTGTTAGTATCGTGATCCAGAGCTCATTCTGTGCGGTTTATTCTTTATTAAGAATTACAGCTTCATAATGCAGTTTCAACACTTAAAGTATTTATTCAAGAAACAGGTTTGTTAATGGACTTGGTACACCAACATGCTAGATTCTCTGTGTACACCAAAGAAAAGAGAAAAGAAAATAACCCAAACCAAAACAACACTCTCTTATTATATGCTAGGTTCGTCAGAAAATGTTGTATGCAGCAACGCGAGCAACACTTAAGAAAGAATTTGGAGGTGGTCATATTAAGGATGAAGTATTTGGAACAGTACAGGTATGTTTTTCTTTTTAAAGTCAGCACGCTGACTGTTTGTCAGGCAGACATCAGACAGTCTTGACTTTTTAATCCATTGCCAGTTTTTAAGAAATCCAAGTTAGAGTTCTCAAAGATACAGAATTCCTATAGCTTTCATGAAAACTGATGATTACTTAGAGATCCAAATTATTATTCCCCTTTTCCCCCTTCAGCAAAGACAGAGAGACTGCAGCAGTTGTCTTCTGTTTGGCCTGTTAATTCATCACATGCACAAATCTGAACCAAAGCACTGCCACTATTGACGCAGGGAGCTGGTGCTGAAGGAAGGGGAGGAGTTGGAGATTTGGGTAAAAACAGAGGGTATTGTAGTGGGGAAAAAGCTGTGGAAGAGACATGGGCTGTTGCGGTGGACACACAAGTCCATAAGGACGTGAAGCTAATAATTCTGCTGCTCACTGAGTGAATAATGTTATATTCAGCCTTAACCTGTGATGGAGGCTTCGTTATCCTAACAAACACACTAACAAACCTCTGTGGAGAGAAGTAGATAACCGAGTTCCTAGGAGGGTTTACTGATAGAGGTCATGTTATTTTTTCCTTGCCCATTCAATCAATTGATCTCTCACTGCCACTTGCACCAAGTCATTAGCAGTCTATGTAATATGTAGAATTTGTATCTAGCCCTACAACTCAGAACCCAAGTCTGAGTTTCCATCTCAATTGTAAGGAAGGAGCATTGCATTTGTCTATTACTGTTATTTCAGAATGTGCTTAGGGCACTTAGAGGGTGGAGTCAATGTAACTCACTTTTTCCAAGTTCGTTACGTTACAGCTCAGTATATCTCTTAAATTGGTGGTTTCAGTGTCGTTATGAACTTCTTAGTTGTAGCTGGCCTTTAATGTTCATCTGTGTGAAAATCACAGCTTCTTCAAGGTACTAAAGTGCCAAACCTCACTCAGAATCTTGATCTTCAGCATCCAGTGGGTTACTCTGTCTTTATTTTGTTAGACACAAGGATGGTTTAGTTGCAACCAGCTCTGTTATCCTGGTGGAACCTGGTTATGCTCCCACCTGCTGCTTCACATGTATTAACCTCGATTCCTCTGGGCTCCTGAAACAAGGTGTAATGGAATATTGGCACTGGAAATTGTATTTGGGAAGGTCTGTCCCTTGCCACAAGGGAAGATCTAAGAAGGAGCTTTCTCTTTCTCCTCAGAACTTGAACGTAAAATCACGTTCATATGATTGCGTGAAGTCCTGCCGTTTTCTCAGTGACCGCCTTAATAATAAAAACGCAACAGTATTTGCCTCTGGTATCAACCTCTTTGGAGGGGACCACAACTGACACTGAGTAGGAACGAATTCCCCAAAGTGGCTATCAGAATTCATCACTTCTGTGATGTTGCATCCTAAACTATTTGCAGTTATCATGTGCTTACTCCCTGTCCTAAGGTAGCATTTCTGTCTCCCATTTTTTTAGGCAGAAAACTACCAATAAGCTACCAGTCTGAGCATGCACATTTTATAAGAAAAGATGATTTTTTTTATTTATTAGAATTGTGGCAATTCTGTGAGGTTTTGTCCAAGGAGGCTGAATAACTTCATACACAGAGTCTTCATTAATGCTAATTTTTGAATTAGCAAGGTAATTGGGGACTGATTGTGGAAATGCTGCCCACGGTACAGTCCCAGGGACCTTGCTGTCCAGGAAGATGAGCTGAATTTGCAAATGCGCCTACACTTGTAACCCCTTCAAAGAAAATGACCATAACTGTATGGGAGGTCACTGCTTTTTTTTATGCTGCATAGAACATCTTTGAAGAAAACTTTTATTGTCAAAAAATGATCAATATTGATATTGTGCTTTCAGGATGATGTTTCACTGAATGGATATAAAAAATACTTGATATCACAGTCGTCCCCTGCACCTCTGACTGCAGCAGAAGAGGAACTTCGACAAATTAAGATTAATGAGGTACCTACAGTGTCTTCAAGCATGGGTGGGAAACTGGGTGCAGGGTTCTAAACATATTGTAGTTTTGGGAAAAAGTCTTTCTAGGGTAAAAAAAGGGCAGAACAGAAAATGGAAAGTTTCAGAAGGTTTGAGTGGACGAGAATATAAATTTATTTCTCAGTGAGTTGAGGCTGCAGGATGATGATGGCTGGAGTTGAAATGGCACGATCTTGCTGAGTTTGCAAGGCCTAGCGTCCAAGTCGGAGGCCTCGCAACTGCAGAGCTTAATTGTTGCAACTTTGGCCCTTAACATCCCTTCAGCATCACTGGATGTGCTTCACTGCGAAGGGTGAGCGAGCACTGGCACAGGTTGCCCAGGGAGGTTGTGGAGTCTCCATCTTGGAGATACTCAAAAGCCATCTGGGCAGAGAGCTGGGCAACCGGCTCTGGGTAGCCCTGCTTGAGCAGGGGGGTTGGACAAGATGACTGCCAGAGGTGCCGTCCAACCTCAACCCTTCTGTGATTGCCCACATACATTGCCCATAGCGGCAGAAATTGTAGAGAAAACACAAAATAGCAAGTGTTGCAGTGAATGATTGCCAGGAGTATTTCAGCAGCCTTATTCCTAGAGGAGATGTACGTAGCTTCCAGCACCAGTGCATTTGTCTTTAAGACTGAGAGGAAGTGAATGGAGTTCCAATAAAAATAAAACAGAAATCCAAAACAAGTAGCTAGTCCTTTTAAGAGACTGATTTGCTTTTGCTAGAAATGCTTTCTAGAAAAACCTCTAACAAATGCCTTTAACCAGATAATTGATGATTGCCAGCTAGCTAGTGACTGAAAAGTTTCAGAGGATTCTTTTCTCACATTTTTCCTTCACTTGATCACTTGTTTGTGTTCAGACATGTACTAAAATAGGTATGTGCTGATCTTACTAATTCTTTAGGCTTGTATTTCACAGCCATGGTCCATGCGTTTGAAGTATGGTTTGTTTCTGCAGCTGAAGGCCAGAGCTCACTTTGAGAAAAACTGCATGAATGTTAAGATAAACATAAATTCTTGAAAAATGGCTTTAAAAGAACTGTTCTTTTCTCTCAAATAATTTGTGACTAACAACTGGATTATGAACAATTGTCTAGCTTGCAGTTACCCTGCATTTTTTTACTAACATTGCGTTGGACCTTCTAGAAGTCAAAAATTATGATTTTGTTTGTTTGTTTTGTTTGCTTTCTTTTTGATATAGGCTTTTGGGGGGAGGGTGTTGAAACAATCTTTTGAAGTGTTCTTTTCCTTCAAGAAGATCAGTTTGTCTCATAAGATGTAATTTCTCTTCCTTTGAAAATTTTGACTCCCTAGAAAAGGCATTTGTATGTTTTGATCTAAATTTTTTCAAGATACAACAAAGTTTATAAGCAATATTGTCAGTTCAAAAGTATAACTCAGCATATGAACATCAAGCTCTTTCCTCCTGGGTTATTATATCTTTATACCAGCACTTAACTCGGAGCTTCTTCACGAACACCTGAGCCAGTTTTCCCTCTGCTGACTCTGTTGGCTCTGCAAAGCTGGCTGTTTCAGACATAGGAAACTGTTTTCAGGTTAGCAAGCAAACCTGACCTGTAAATTAAAAAATGCAAATCTGATGTCTATGGGAATGATGTTCTAAGGTAGTTTATTCTTGGTTTGGGTACTGCCAACTCTTGTGTGTAACCGTACGCAATACATTGTCAGTTATTGTACAAAACCAAACGAATGCTTGCAAAGGTTTCTGTTCACATCTCAATTGACTTGTGTTCCAGGTACAGACAGACGTTGGTGTAGATACCAAGCATCAAACGTTGCAAGGAGTAGCATTCCCCATTGCTAAAGAAGCTATTCAGGCTTTGGAGAAATTGAAAAATAAGAAACTCAATTATGTACAACTGGCAAGTATAAAATACTTTAACTATTTTTTAATAGTGAGTATAAAAGAGATTACCTATAGTTGATGACGTACACTGATAAATTACCATTCTGTATTAGATTAATTCAATTACTTTTTTCCATCCTGTCATGGTCTCTGGTTTGCCTTCTGTGTATTAACTATATTCAGGTTTGCTTTCTTAACAGCAAATTGATATGAAAAATGAAACTATTATTTTGGCCAACACACTTCATACTGAACTTAAGGACTTGCCAAAAAGAATTCCAAAGGATGCTGCGCGTTACCACTTTTTCCTGTATAAGCATGCCCACGAAGGAGACTATTTGGAATCCATAGGTATGAGAAAATTTCCCAATATGAAATTTCATTGGCTTGTTTCAAGTACGTTAGTAATTCTGAGGCAGACAGAAAGATGTGTCATAAAAGTAATCTGTCTGTCAGCGTGATCATAAATTTCAGAGTCATTTGGTTGTGAAACTGCCTTCTGAAGGGTCCTTATGTTTAGAAGGTAGTTAGCTGTCCTTTTTGATTAGGAGCACCCATAAATCAGTCATCATGTGAAAACATGAAGATACTGGCCATTCGCTCATCCTCCATTGGAAATGAAACGCTTGCTGAAGCAAAAAAGATCCCGACCAGTGTTACGTTTTTCCCTTTCAGACTGCATAGTTGATTTGCAAAGCCTCTCTGTTGTAAAGGATTTTATGATACAGGTTTTGATGGAGTGTAGTTATGGTCTGATTTGTGGTTTTTTTCCGGCAGTTTTCATCTACTCTATGCCAGGGTATACCTGTAGTATACGAGAACGAATGCTCTACTCCAGTTGCAAAAGTCCATTGTTAGAAATTGTAGAAAGACAGTTGTGGATGCAGATAATTAGAAAGGTAAGTACACTGGGTATACCGGTATTTTCTCCATCCCTCTGTTCCCTTCTTAATACCTAACTGTAACTGTCTCTGCCACCACCTTCTCTAAACAATGAAAAGTGTTGTGTAACTCTTAAAGTTTGTCCCGAACAAGAAATACTTTTTGATAAAGCTCCAGATACAACATTAAGTCACGGAAGCTTTTCTCTGGTTCATAATTTCTACACTTCCATAGCTTTAGCAGACATACCCTTGTGCATCAAGGAGTGTTTGAGAGTACTTTGAAGGACTGTTTAGAACCAAGATGATTTCTTACTGAAAGGCCTGTCATATTTTGGACCACAACACATTGCTGTTGTTGAACACTTAAATACCTTTAAAGCCAAGGTTATTTAAGGATTTTCAAAATAATTTCAAGCTCCAGTTCTGGAACTTAACAGTGCTCTCTTAGGAGTCCTTGATGAGGGAAACAAGGATTTGCAAACAAGCTGGTCTTTTCACACTGATAGATTTTACTACTATGCAGTAAGTTGCTTCTCGTCTCCAGAGCAGAGACCATAGGAATGGTCCATTTGTGTTACATTCTTAACACTTGGGCTGTAAACTTAAAAAAACTTGGAGGCTTGGTTTCTGTGGGGATTATGTCTACCTAAAAAATAGCAGAGTTAATACTAACCGTTTTTACTGAGGTGACAGGTGAATTAAGTAGATTATTACTACATGTTTTTGTAGGTAATTATTTCTCAGAAATTTCCTTTACGACAAAATAAATGCCCCATGTGAGTCCTGAAATTCCCGTAGACATATTTCGGAAGCATGTACTTGTCACAGCAATACCATGGCTGGCAAATCCGTCAAGTGCTACGGTTGGCAGGCCACAAAGTGCTGAATGCTCAGAAGGGCAAGGCCAAAGCATTTCTCTGAATTCTAAATTCTTGCAATTCAGAACAGTGGGGTTTCAGTATTTTCTTTCCATTCAGGTTTATATGCTTAAAGTTTAAAAACCAAAACAGCCTCCCCTTTTGTTCATTAAACTTACCTTCCCTGGCTTGAATAGTTGCTCAGTTGCAGTAGCCAGCTAATCGATGTTCGTACTCCTCCCTTTCTGTCTCGAGAGACAACAACATGTATGCACTTTGCTTTTACAGTTAGTGTTTACAGCACGTGTTAGTGAAAAATTTAAATTCTTAAAATGTGGAGATTACGTTGGGACAATGAAAAGTTTTTATTTTAGAGGGGTGAATAAAGAAGGGAAATTGTAGTTCTGAAAGATCTGCATGCTGCTTTCTTATCTTTTATTGAGGAAGTTCCTTTTCAGATGAGTAAATAAGCACTTGGTTCCACATGGAATGTGTACTCCTAGTTAGTATTAACATGTACACTGTGCGAAAGCTTGAGACAGAGGGAGTTCCTTGGCGTGTGTACCATGTAGTTGTGCCTGCATTTCAGGAAAAATAATTGAGCCAAATCACACTTAATGTTGGTAAGAGTATAGTGGATAGTTTTTTCTGGGAATCCAAGATTGCTCAGGGCATTAGACACAAGTTGGAGAACATTTCATGCTAGACTCTGAACATCACTGCACATACGGTTTTAACATAGTATTTAGAGCTCCAGCAAAATTTTGAGATGTTTTTAAATATGTCTTTAAGATGAATAGGATAATGTTGGGTTTTTTTTCCCCCAGATTGAAATAGATAACGGCGATGAGTTAACTGCTGACTTCCTTTATGAAGAGGTTCACCCAAAACAACATGCTCACAAACAAAGTTTTGCTAAACCCAAAGGTCCTGCAGGGAAGAGGGGAATACGACGACTGATCAGAGGTCCAGCAGAGACTGAAACACCTGGTGATTAGGAACCATTGGTTGCATTTGTTATAAAGTATTACACTAAGAAATGAAATTCTGGCTTTTGGAAATGGACTGAAATCATTCCATTTGTAGACGCTAGGAAAAAAAAAAAAAGGCTCTTTTTACTCTTCTCTCTTGTGACCTCAACGCTTTTTATATTGTTACAGGATTGTACTTGTTGACCATGTTTTATGACATGTGGAAAAGCTAATTATTTTGAAGCTAGAAGAGGAAAACTAAGCTAGTACCCCTTTATTTTAAATTAGAATCCACTATTTAATAGCAGTATATGTGATGATGAACTTCTTTGCAGGCGCAAGACTGTTAAGGCCATGTCCTCTGTGGGGAAGGTACAGCTGTATGCCTGGATCACAAACCTGTGTTCTTATGTGTAGCCTATGGAAACCCTTGAGACTGCCCATGTGAGAAGAGCTGAAGGACAACAGAGCATTGTCCCAGATAAATCTTGATTTTTCCTTGTAGCTCTTATGGACAAGAGTACAAGGGAAGGGTTTCTTCTGGTTTTGACAGGATGCATTGGTGGGTTTTGTTGTTTGGTTTGGGTTTGGGGTTTTTGTAATAGAAAAGATGAACTACAGTCAGTTATCCATCAATTAGTGTAAGCGTTCAGGAATAGCTGGGTATTTTCCCACGCAAAAGCATGGTCATTTCAAATTTATAACTTTATTTTGTGGAATTGTCTTTCAAAGAAATCTGACATAAAGCCACTACAGCTTTTCCAGACTTCTAGACCGCTCGTAAGCCTTACATAGTCAGTACTGAATGACCTAGTAAAAGGTGTTGAACAGTGCATGGGTTAGCATACGCCGTAGCTCATGGAGCTGCTTTCAAAGCAATATGCTTAAAGTTTCTAATAAACAATTGATTATCTGTGCACTTGGCTCTAAAACTGTGGAAGTTCAGTAAAAATGGAAATAGACTTGCTTCGTAATGGTGAGTTATTCTTGAGATCGAGTGTGTTTGCAGTATCAACTGCAATTGTAACAATTTTAACTTTCAAGGTATTCTGAAACTGACTTTTCTTCAATGTTTGAACTTTAATAGTAACATAAATCTGTAACAGAATCCAGCTGGGTCTTGAGTAACTGCTGACAGCACCTCGTTAGGATTTTTGTCTTCTTTTTTTGTCCTTTTTTTCCCCTTCCCTTCTCCAAAATACTAAAATCAGCCAGAATAGTCTACACTTGATTGAACCATGAGTAATATGTTTAATAGGAAGAGGAAAAATAGATGATTTTAAGGAGTGCATTAAGGAAGAATCAGATGTGGCAATCACGTATTGGATGACCTTAAATATTTAAAATTGTGTAATGAGGCAAATACTAGTGGGTAGATTATATTCCCCAGCGGGGACTTGCTTTTTTGTGTCTTGTATGTGAGCTTTGTGGGGTTTGAATTTTTTTTTCTTTTTTTTATATTTTAAGCTCCATGGGAGTTGCAAGTCTTGGTTCAGTGCATGTTATCATAGGTGCTGGGTGTACACATTCTATAGCTGAAACACATCTCTACCTGGTGGAAGATAGATTTTTAACCTAGTTTTGTAGGGAAATAATGCTTTGGCACTACTAGTTCCTGATAAAATTTGTTTTATCTTATCTGTTATTTTGTTTGGAGATACTAGCTTGTTACTGACGTCTGAGATTGCACTATATAATGTGAAGATTGCAATAGTTGTTGGGTTTACTGTGGTTTTTTCATATGCCGTAGAAATTGGACACCTCAGCTTTTTTCATTTAATCTCACAGACTACGTCAATCCAGTTCAAGAGCTCTGGATCCCAGCTCACCGCCTGCCTGCCCGTAGCTACCGTCTTCTTTTTCTGCCCTTGCCCTCTCCCGCTGGGGCAAGGAGCTGCTCTTTGACGCCTGCCCTCTATGTGCTGCCTGGCCGGCAGGTGCCACTGGATTGTAAACGTGGTTAATGTCCGTGCAGCTCATTGTACACCGAAATTAAATGGATTTTTAGTTGAACTCTGAATCTCGTCAGCACACGTAATTCACTTTGGGGTTTTTGGATATCTTTTTTTTTTTTTTTTTAAGGAAAACCTTTTGAGTGTAGCAGCTAAAAGTTACTGTTAGCGGGTTTTTGGTTTGACTTT